CCTGACCAGGTTCAGTTCCAAAGGTCTTCCAAAAGCCGCATCAACCTGCATCTGGATGACACCAGTGCCAGAGAGAGCGCAAGAAGGTGGACAGGATGACTGTCCGGGACACGGCTGGGATTCCTGGTGTATTTTGCTCAGGATTAGGCTGGGCGAGTCCCAGGTAAAAAACACAGAGCCAGACAGATGCCCACCCCCTTGCTCCTCATCTGTTTTCACAGCTCCTCACTGGCCTTCTGGCCTTCAGGGTCTCCCTGGCTGCCTACCTCCCTTTCTCCAGTCACTTAATCCCAGCTCCAGCTGCTGCTAGAATGATTTTTATAAAAGGTGAAAAGTGTTTCCCCACGGCTTAAACAGCTTCAAATCTTCAGAGTTTGAAAATCTTCTCAATAATTGACCCATATCGAATCCTGCCTCCTCTGCAAAGGATCTGATGCTATTTGTCACGTAGCCCCTTTGTACGTTTCCAGTCTTGCCTTCCATCCTGGATCACACGGCACGAAGAAACGCCTCTGCTTGCAACATCCTTTCCGTGACTGTTTGGTGGACTCTCCAACTTTCAACCTTAAGCTAAAACATGATTCATCCTGTCAAGGCTTCTGTGATTATTTTCTCTGAACTTTACACATCCCCATGGTGCTCGTACCATTAGACCTATTACTCTATATTACATTGATTTATTTCAAAGTCTAGTTTCCCCTATGGACTGCCACCTAGTTTTAATGTTATCGTTAATAATAATAAAAGTAATAGTAGTAGCTATTATATATTAGCTAACTACTATTGCAAGGTTCTGTGCTTTATGCTTTATATGAATTATCTCACGTAATCCTTTTGACACTATAAGGAATAGGCACTATCAATAGAAAACAGCAAGCTGATGTAGAACACAGATCTGACTGACTTGGAAGTAGACTCTGTGCATTCAGTAAGTACTTAGTAAATATTTGTTGAATGAATAAATCATTGATTTTTTTTTTTTTTTGGTGAGGAAGATTGTCCCTGAGCTGACATCTGTGCCAAGCTTCCTCCATTTTGTATGTGGGAGGCTGCCACAGCATGGCTTGATGAGTGGTGTGTAGATCTGCACCTGGGATCTGAACCTGCAAACCCAGGGCCACCAGAGAGCAGTGTGCAAACTTAACCACTATGCCACTGGCTGGCCCCATCATTGATGTTTAATAATGAGTGAATAAATGGGCTAACTTTTCAAAAAAGTTGCTAATTACAAAGTTACGGCTGTCGCTAATTACAAAGCAATCTGCAAGTGTTCTGTACAGATTTTCTATTCGTGGAGAGAGCAAAAAGGAGGTGCTGGAAGTGTCTTTTATTCTCTGAAAATTGCTTCTTCAACTGTGAGCCTCAAAAGGAAAGCTGGAATGTGGACATTAAAATAAAGAACGTATGTGAACAAACATGTGAAGAAATACACAGAAAAACCGACTTTAAAAGCCCAGTAGGGGGAGGGAGGGTAGGAACGGTGTGTATCTATGATGACCTGTTTAGGCTCTCGTCAGTCATCATGCCCTTTCCTGTGGTTGAGGCCACTTCGTCCTTTCCTGGAGTCTCAGCTTTGCTGTCCCCAGGAACACAGGGGTCCTCACTTGGAGACAGCATCGTCACGCCCTCCCAGCTTGCAGCCCAGGCTCCAGAGCATGAGCGTCTTGATTCTGGTAATTGGGCTTCCTTCTCGTTTCTGGGCCCCAGGGCCTACCTTGTAGCCTAGTTCCAGTGGTGAAATCACTGTCTTACCCCTGTGGTTGGTCCTTGTTATTGTTGGTCAGCCTCCTGGTTGAGTCTCAAGTGGTGCCCTGTCATTGAGATCCTGTCCCCTGCCTGGGAGCCCCACCTGACAGCGCCCGCTCACCCAGATCTCAGAATGTGCTCGTCTGCTGCGGTAAGAATACCACACCCGGCATGTCACCTGTGTTTAGAGATGTCATCTGGTTCAGCTGGTGGTCATCCATCATCTCCTGCCACGATCCACCTAGTTTTTGCAGAGGCTACACAGGCCGGTAAACTGAACAGGAATATGATGGGGACCCCCATCCCTGCATTCTTAAAGTCTTTGATGCTGACACTAATAGCCACAATCCTTCTAGGAATGCAATATTACTTATGATTTACTGCCTTAGTTGCTGTGGAAGCTGGGGCAGAGGATCCAAGAGAGAACACCATCAAAAAAATCTAAGAAGATGCCTACATGTGTCCAATAGAGATGGTGAATATTACAACTTCTAACATAGTATACGTTGGCTGTAATTTAGGGAAAATAGAATAGCATTGGGAAAATAATATTTCAACATAGAAGAGAGTGTACATATAAAACAAAGTGAACTCTATTTTGACACTGGTTGAGTCGGTATCTGTGTGACTTTGGAAAGCCATGTAACCTATTGGGGACCTATTTCTTCATCCCTAAAATAAAGGGAATTCATTAGAGGTCAGTAACAGCAGCATAATTCTATGATTTTTCTAATTATTTTCTTGGTATTATTGTAAAATTGTAGTAATTGAAGGAAATGAGAGTAACAATTAAGAACAGTAAATTGGTGCAGCCACTATGGAAAACAGTATGGAGTTTCCTCAAAAAATTAAAAATACTGTAAGATCCAGCAATTCCACTTCTGGGTAAATATCTGAAGAACATGAAAACATTAATTCAAAAAGATATATGCAAACCTCTGTTCACTGCAGCATTATTTACAATACCAAGATATGGAAACAACCTGTGTCCATCGATGGATGAATGGATAAAGAAGGTGTGATACACACACACACACACATACACATACACACACACAATAGGAGACTACTCAACCATAAAAAAGAATGAAATCTTGCCATTTGCAACAACATGGATGGGCCTGGGGGTATTATGCTAAGTGAAATAAGAACAGTAAATTTTTTGAGAATAGTATATCTTATATCCCATGAAGAATGAAAGGACATTTTTGGAAAAATTAACCTAAAAACATCAAAAAGTAGACACTGTAAAATTACCATATGTCTTCTTCTACATGCTTAGATTTTTTTCATTTGCGTTTCCAAATCATGTTATTAGGTAAGTATCCAACAATTAAAAGGAATAATGTACTTTTAAGAAGATCTGTTCACTAAGGTTTTCTGTTCCAGATATTCTTGCACCTATGACATAGTTGAGTTTCACTCTGGACTACTATTCTACGAGTTTGAATAGAGTGCTGTTTTTGAATAAAGACAATACATGTATCAGAATTTTTTTTAAAAAGCATGGATATGGGAACTGAGAATGTGTCATTGACTTGATTTAAAATAGTGCATGTTCTGTAGTGCTAAAGGAACTCAGAAGTATGTCAAAGGATAAGGGGAAAAAGGCCATCTAGAAAGAAGTGAGGACAATGTCCCTGGGTGTGATTTGGGAGGAAGCAAGAACAACATTTGCAGAATTTGGCAAGATAACCAGGGGAAAGAGCAAGAGTGGAATAGCTGCTTCCAAGTTCTAGGGCAATTGGGAAGCAAAACCCTGGAGAAACTTGGATGAAGGGAAATTCCACTTTGGCATCCCTGAGAACGCTTAAGCGCATAGTCTTACCTGCTAGAATTTTTGAAAGGATGCTGATTCCCTCATTTGAGAAAAAGAAATGCATTTTATAAAACTCAGACATATTACGGCAAAGCAAGGAAAAAAAGGTATTTCACATTAGATGTTTTGCCTAAGTCAGAACTCTTTTCTTTGAGGCTTTAAGAAATAAATAATTAGGAAGATTCTAAGGAACATACGTATATTCCAGGGACTATTTCGGAGCAGCAATATGTGTAAAAAATATATAAACTTCAACGATTGTTTGAGAAAGCACAGAGCTTCAATGCAGAAATGAATTCCCACCCTCTACAAAATTTTTACCCCAAAACTAAATGATTTCTTCAGGGAAAAAAGGAGATAAAGTAAATCCTTGAAAAAATATCAGCTCATGTCAAAGTAATTCATGGTTCTTCACACATGCACATAACGGCTAATCCGCTCAGAAATAATCAAGGGGTTGACTTTATTTGTGTTGGATGAAACTGCTGCTTCCTGGAGATTTTCATTTACCAACATCCGACACTGGTAGCAATTTTTAAAAGAGATGTTCAAAGGAGCTTTTCAGCATTTGTGTTCATCAATATGCCTTTGAAGAATGACTGAGTATGTAGGGAAAACAATTATTCTTGGTAGAATCCTTGCTCTGTATAATCCTAAGTCTCGGGAGGCAGCTTCGTGGTGTATGCAACTATGGGAGGGTTATGAAAAGGGCAAATGGTCCCAGTGGTGTAGCCTTAGGCACGGAAATCATAATGTTAGGAAACACAATCCACGGCTTCCTGGATTTTAAATCAGATTTTAATGCTAGATTTTTCTCTATGTCTTTTTCCACGTTAAAGGAACTTCTGCAGTATTTAAATGCACCTTTGATTATTATCATATATTTATTGTAGATTTGCACTTAATTTGATAAGGCTACCTAGTTCCCTGACTGATAAAGACATTCATGCGCTACAGTCTTTAATGCACGTAAGGCACATATTGGAATGTTTATATACTTAAGAGAATTAGCGGTCTAAGAGAGTTAGAATCACAGTAAGTATTTTTATCTCAGAAAAACGATATTTCAAACCTGTTTCCTATACTCGCTAATGAAGAAAACCACCTCCATTGGGAACTATAAGTGCAAATTCTCAACCACCCAGAAGGCACAAAGGGGAAAACCATACTTTGTAAGGTCTTGATTGGTCTTGAGAGAGTAGTTATGATAAAAGCGTAGTCACTGTAATTTTCCTTGCCTCATTATTTGGAAAGCAGATGAAAACACACGATCGAAGGATGGACACTCCCCCCTCTCTGACTGGAATTTGGAAAGGTCCAACTATCTCCTCTAAACCTTCTCAAGTGAAGTTGCTCCAAGCTCTCCACTCACCGCCCCCCCCTCCTTTCTTTTTAGCAGAAGACCATGAACACTAGTATTTGTACATAATGTTACCTATTTCTTCATTCGATTCATTTGCCTCTCCTACGCCAGGCCCTTGATGATCTTAGTTAGACAGCCAGATACTCAGTCTGTCGCCAAAAATGTATGGAGTGACTATTGACTGCCGTGAACCAGGCCCTGTGAAGGGTTCTGGCTCTGGGTTCTGGTACTCAAGCTCGTGTTCTATTCTCTACTTCCCTGGTGCCCATGGCGACTATTTCAAATGACAAGCCTCATTGAAAGAAAGCCCCATTTTAAGTGAGTTCCGCTGAGAGGAAATAGGTAAATCGCGCTCACCGTTGGTGGGGGTTTAAAAAGCATCACCTCTTTGAAGAGCATTCAGCAATGTGATCAGCACTTAAAAGGGGTGTCCTCAGTGGCTTTCAACTCTACCTCTAGGCATTTATTCTACAAAAACATTAACACAAATAAACAGATACCTATGTACAAGAATGTCTACCAAAATTTTTGTTTTAACAATGAAACGAGGAGGTATTGGTTAAAATATGGCACATATATAAATGGAATACTCGGCAGCAACTTAAAAATATTAGATGTATTTATATTCATTGACATGAAGAGATGACCATGGTATATTACTGAGTGAATCTGAAAGTTATGGAAGAGTATGTATGTACCAAGTCTTGACATATTATCCAACGTCTTCAATAAAAATTCGTATTCATATTCTATGAGATGCATATGCATAGATAAAAGACTGAAGGGATATTCACTGAATCATTAAAAGTGATGATCTACACAGTGGAACCATTATTTTCTCCTCTGTATTTATATTGCTTGAAGTTTTCTATCAAGCATATATTGATATTTTTAAAACATTAAAAATATTCCCATTTGGGAACGCAAATTTTCCAGAGCAAAAGGAAGAGAGTATTAACATGATATCATTTCCTGAGAAAAAAATTTCTTGTTCTGAACTGTGGAGATCAAGAAAACTCATTTTAAATTTTATGAATTTCTATGGTCTCAAGACTAAACTTTCACTCCAGAATCATTGCTGGAAGAAGCTCAACTTGTTGAGAGTTCTAAAACCAAAGATGACTGTGAGTGAGGCGTTAGATAAAATTTTCCAATTCTTCCCAGCCCGGGACTCCATCTCTGTGTGCAGTTTGTCTTCTGGGACTATATTATTACCATTATTATCATTATCATCATTATTATTATTGTTACTAATACTGTTACCCATTGCCACATGTTGAGTGAGGTACTGTATGCTAGTCAACATGCGAAGTACTTGACGTCCCAGATTGCCAAATGTCACAAGCTAGTGAATAGTGGAGACAGAATTTCAACATGTCTTAACTCTAGAGCTCATGGATCTTGTTATTCCATAAAACCATTCATAAGGCAACCGTGAAATATCACAAATACGTTGGTATTCAATGAATAAAAATGTTAAAATAATGACAAAATTATAAGGAATGATAGTATCTTTATAGCATAAAATCCTTATCAAGAATCTTGTAGCAAGGGTAATAATATGTAGATATGGAGAATTTTGGCAAGCCACTGGATAAGCAGGAATGCACGTTTCACCCAGTGAGAGAGGATTTTCGTCAAGAGGGAAGTGAACACCCAGAAGGCAAGTACAGTTCACAGATGCCTGACATTTGTGCTTTCTCACTCGAGCAGAGTTCACTGGGGGGAAGTCCCACAGCAAAAGTGCCTCCCAGAAGAATACTCAGTGTTTCCTTGTAATTAAAATTGTTCTTGCTCGAGCGGCCCCTGTGCTGTCTCTTTATCAGCATCAGGTCACAGTTAGTGCCTATTGTGGCATCTGCTGCTATCTGGTGTTTTCATTGTAGCAAATGGTTCTCATTTGGTCTACAACCTCAGGGTGCCCATGTCTTCATCCTAAGCATGCTCTCTCTCTACCCCTTCTTCCCTCCTCTCTCTTTCCTTCCTTCTTTTTCTATTCCTCCTTCCTCCGACCTCTTCTTCCTTCTCTCTCTTAAACACTATTTCTTAAGTGCCTACCATGAACCAGAAACTGCCTACAGTCAGCACGCACAGCCTCCCCTCCAGGAAGCTCCCGGTCCTCCTGCACCTTCCCCTGCTTGTTTTATTCATTTTTATGCCAGAGCATCAAGTACAATGACTGCCACTTCTTAGACGTTTAGTGAATACATGGCTGAATACCTCATCGCATTTAGCTCTACTTATGTAATTTAAATCACACAATATGTGTGCAATTTTAAAAAGCATATAGAATATAAGTGGGCTAAGATTGGGAAAAGCAAGGTTATGAACAGAAGTTTGGAAGACAGACAGAGTGGGTGAGAACCGTCCGTAGAAGCACAGCTGGCTGTTTACACACTCTCACAACTTCAGGGGCCAGCCTGGTGCCTCTGCTCCGTGGTACGTACCCCACACCTGAAACTGTTCCCTTGACTCTGTCACAAACAACTTTGGGAATAAATCAGGATCTTCTTTAAAAATGTAAATACTTCTACTACTATTATCTGTCATTTATACTTTAACATGATCTAAATCAATCTGATTGGTTTTTTCCTAATTCAACACTGAACTATAGGGACCTACCATGTCATACAGAATGCTGAGCCTCGGGAATCCAAGGATGAAGGATCCAACCCTTACCTCCAAAGAGCTCGTAGCCACGTAGTAGAAGGCGAAAAACTTAATGTTAAGTGAATACAAAAAAAGAGAACAAATGTGTGTGTGTGTGTGTGTATCTGTCCTCTTGGACGTTTTCTTGGTAATATCTTCTGATATCACAGCTGGTTTATTTGTACTTTCCTTCCTGGTTGTCCTAGTTAATTTTTCCTCTTTGCTACAGTCGGTTCTTGCTTTATTAAATAAAGACAAAGTAGGGCACACTGTACGCCCCGAAAGTGCTCTGCCAGCTCTTTTCTTGGTCCCTCCTTGTACCCACTGCACTATGAACGAAGATCCTTTTATGAGTAAGAGGGCAAGTGAAGAAGTTATGCAACACACTTGAAGCCACAAGTCTGTAATTAGCCAGTAACTTTTTAACTGATGTGTAGCCTACTGGCTTACTCACTCTTTCCAAAACCATCCCCATTTTGAAGTCAGAGTCAGTGACCAGTCACTGTAACACATGTTTGATGAATGGCACACACTCCAATACAGGTAACTTTTGCCTCCGAAGACCTGGATAAGAAATGGGAAACAATTCTCGTGTTAAATGTTCCCAATAATCTGTGCAGAGAGAGAACCGAATCAAGTATGCCTAAATTTCCTGCCAGAATTTCATCTCAAAACTCTAATAAACCCTAAAACCTTGGTAATAATAATGCATTAATATAGGAACTTTGCTTCAACAAAAGGAGAGCTGTGGCGTGACCTCTGACTTAACCCGCCGCACACGTGCCGTGAAGACACTCCCGCTTGTCATGGCTTTGTCTCACCTCCTTATTATCCAGAGACTGGTAGGTTTCCTCCTCAGCTTAAAAATTGTCAGAAAAATACACTCATTTCCTCTAATAGAAATAAACACAGGCAAAGGTCAGAGGGATGCATTCCATGGCAGCTGCCCATAGTAGAGCAAAGTGCGAGGCAGGCGGTCTGCACCAGAGAGCCAGTTTGCAGTCAGCACTGCGGGTCTGGGGTCGTACCCCTAGTCTCCACATTTCCAAAGCAAAGTGGGACACTAGGCCCTGAGGAGCCCTTCCCTATAGCCCTGGGGAGAGAGTCTGGCTTGCTACGTACATTTTAATGCTGTCTTTGAATATTTGTGCATAAAAGCATTTTTGCCATTGTGGGAATTCTTTTCATAATCAAAGGAGAATTTTCTCCTATGTCCCTTGTTTATGGGGACCAGGCTTCTCCTGATCCTGAGCTTCCTGTACCCCTCTTATCCCATTTCTTAATTTCTTCCACTGCCTTCCATCACCTCATTGCCATGACGTCTTCTCAGCCCCTCACCATCTTTTAACTTTTGCCGTGTAAGGGAATTTCGTCTGCTCACTCTACCCTTCCTTTTTTCCCCAAAGTTATGCTATTGTTTTGGTGAGGAAGATTGGTCCTGAGCTAACATCTGTTGCCAGTATTCCTCTGTTGTTTTTCCTCCCTGAAGCCCCAGTACATAGTTGTATATCCTAGTTGTAAGTCCTTCTAGTTCTTCAATGTGGGATGCTGCCACAGCATGGCTTGATAAGCGGTGTGTAGGTCCGTGCTCAGGATCTGAACCTGCAAACCCTGGGCTGCTGAAGCAGAGAGCATAAACTTAACCACTTGGCCACCTGCCAGCCCCTCACTCTACCCTTTATAATCCACCCTTCCTAGTATCACCATATCTTTGTAAAACACAGATTTGAGCCCATGGCTTTGTTGGTTTAAAACTTATACATGAGTATTAAGCATGATTATGTACCCTAATCCAATACCTCATTCTTTTTGTTAATTAATGCATTAATCCACCAAATATTTGATGAATGAGTAAGGTGCTAGGGACTTTAAGTGATGGATGGGAGAATGTTCAGGATGGAGAACGGAGTCAGGAATGAGGGGATATTGGGGATGGGATGAAGGAGTTGCTTATCTTATACACACAATATGCTAATAAAAGATACTAAAAGTGTAAAAAAAATTAGTAGAAGCACATGCTTCTTGTACACACACACAAAAATAGCCAAATTAAGATGATTGTCAAAATAAAACATCTAAAGGTCTGGCCCCGTGGCCGAGTGGTTAAGTTCATGCACTCCGTTTCGGCAGCCCAGGGTTTCATTGGTTTGAATCCTGGGTGTGGTCATGGCACTGCTCATTAGGCCATGCTGAGGCAGTGTCCCACATGCCACAACTAGAAGGACCCACAACTAAAAATGCACAGCTATGTACTGGGGTGCTTTGGGGAGAAAAAGGAAAAAAAATCTTTAAAATAAAACATCTAAAATGGCTTCATATTTTACTTTGGCCCCAAGCTGGTAACTAGAATGCAAACTTGGATGGTCAAGGAGAGGCAGAAATCACATCTTATTTATTATTATGTTCCCTCAGTACCCCTAGCACAGTGACTTGGACATTGATGGTTTGCAAAAAAGATTTTGTGAAAAATTTCTGCCAGTGTGAGCTTTATACAATAAAACTAGGTTTGAAAATGTGAATAGTATAATTTTTACTAGTTTTCAAGAAAGGATGACCACAA